TTTCTCATCTAAGAACATTTACATGCATCTTCAAAGTACTGAAATTTCTGCAGCTACCTTTGCATAATTCAAGTTGTGCATAGATTTTATCCAAAGGCCAATCTAAAAAGAAATAAAAAGAAGATGCTTTTTCCTTTTGGTGGTTATTTTTCTTTGGACAAAAATCTTATACATGCAGTCTTATGATATTATAATAATACAATACATAGTCCAGCACCTACTAACTATTGCAAAATGCCAGGTCTCAAAATACCTAAGTAGGTTGGTTGGTTTTATTTTTAAACAACTGGAGGTTGTATATCCAAACCTTGTTGGTCTTTTTGCTTTAAGAAGTCTGGTCATGATTCCCAAACAAGAAACAAATCACACTGTTCTGCATTTCTCAAAGAGATTACAATCTATTTAAGCAAGACATAAATACATGAAAAATAAAATAAGTGTATCAAACACTATTACTCAGTGTCACCAGGCAGGAATGGTCCAGACAGTAAAACCTAAATTCCTAGTAAAGAAAGAATTGATACTTTGTACTTTGTAAACTTGTTGCAAACAGAAACAATTGCTTTTCTCCCTGACAGAAAAAAAATGTCTGACCACCTCTCTAGCATCTTCTAAGAGAGGCACGCACATGCATGTCTTCTCTCTGTTTGCCTCACAGGCACATCCTGTGATGACCTCCCTACTTGTTTCACATGTCATGTTTAAACATTATTTCTCATGGGCATCTTAGTTTTTCTTTCATGTATTTATTTGTTTATTTATTTATTTTTAGAGAGAGGGGAAGGGAAGGAGAAAGGGAGGGAGAGAAACATTGATCGGTTGCCTCTTGTAAGCCCCCGACCGGGGACCTGGCCCACAGTCCAGGCATGTGCCCTGACCGGGAATCAAATCAGAGACCTTTCAGTTTGCGAGATGAGGCCCAACCCACTGAACCACACCAGTCAAGGCTTAGGTTTCTTGAGGCTATTCTCAGTCCGGTGGCAGATAATCAGGACAGCTGGCTGCCTGCACAGGAGGAGAACTGGGATCACAGAGTCGAATTCTCAGGGAACTTCTGCTTTCTAGAAATCAGGGTAGTTTGTTTTTCCCCCTGTGTCCCCGTGCTGTCCTTCCAGGTCGCACCTTTCCCTGCCTCATCTCCAGTGCTACTCTCTTCTCCCCCACAGCTGTCAGGGGCAATAAAGTCACCACTAATTGCCCAGATTTTTCTCCACGTGAAAGAATTTAAGCACAGGGCGCATGTGTTGGCAAGATGAGTCACATATCCTCAACTCTCCTTTTTCCCTAGAGAGGCACAAGACTGAAACTTGACCTGTGTATGTCCCAGGGGCTCCCTTTGATCATGCTCCTTTGCTTCAGACCTGTGTTCTTACCTGTGTTCTTTAAGATGGAAGTTCTTCATATTTCGAGGCTTAGCTATCGCTTAGATTATCCTCTGTCCCTTTGGACCTCTGGAAGAATGAGGGCCTTTCCTCTAATAGTTCCTCATTCTTTCCATCCTTACCCTCTCCTGCCTCCTTTCACCACTTCTGTCGAAACTGCTGTTTCAGACACCTCATTTCCAATCTATCAAGCCGCCGCTGCCTCCCTGTGCACCATTTTATTCCCACTTCCTCCTTTTATCCCTTGCCCTAAGGTCTGCAGGAAATCGGTCTTCTAATTCTTGACCTTTCCCTGATCTGAAGCTCTTGTGCCACCCACCCACCCTCTTTTCCTCCTGGAAGTCCAATTCATGAAGTTCTAGAGCACATTTGCATATAATCAGTAATCATTGTCTGTCTTACCATATCACATTTAAAATATATAAGTTTGCACAGTTGCATCATAGTAAGAGCTTTGCTGTCTTATTTGGACATTGGCCCTCAAGTCTAGCTTACTTTAGAAAAGCTTATGTCTCAGTCTTTACCATTCAGTACTAGGCTTTGTCAGGCAGAATGTGCACTAAATAGCATATTTTAATTTTTTTATGGAAACTGTTTTGCTAGACCACATGAATGAATCAGAAAGCTGCTAGAAGGCTTCACTAGGGCTCAAGTTTGAACTGTCTGGACTGGTGTGTCTGACTTTGAGATACTGTGTTTTCATTGTGAGTGACAGCATTGATGTGCTGTAGTTTTGTTTTTTTTTTTATTATATTTTATTGTTTATACTACTACAGTTGTCCCAATTTTCCCCCTTTACCCTCCTCCGCCCAAGGCCCCCCCCCCCGCCCCCGCCCAGACAATCCCCACACTGTTGTCCATGTCCATGGGTCATGAGTATATATTCTTTGGCTGCTGTATTCCCTATGCTGTACTTTACATCCCCGTGACTCTTCTCTAACAATGAATTTGTACTTCCTATCCCTTCACCTTTTTTTGCCCATCCCCCAAGCCCCTACCCCACACTGGCAAACATCAGTATGTTCTCTGTATCTATGATTCTGTTTCTGTTCTGCTTGTTTATTTGTTTTGTTTTTTAGATTCCATTATCCATAGATATGTATTTACTGCCATTTTATTGTTCAAATTTTTGATCTTCTCAAAGAAAACCCTTTAACATTTCATATAATACTGGTTTGGTGATGATGAACTCCTTTAGACTTTTCTTGTCTGGGAGGTTCTTTATATGTCCTTCAAATCTAAATGATAGCTTTGCTGGGTAGAGTAATCTTGATTGTATGTCCTTGGTTTTCATCCTTTGAATATTTCTTGCTAATCCCGTCTAGCCTTTTGAGAAATCAGTTGACAGACTTACGAGATCTTCCTTGTAGGTAACTAACTGCTTTTCTCTTGCTGCTTTAACCTTTGGCATTTTAATTATGATGTGTCTTGGTATGGGCCTCCTTAGGTTTGTTTTCTTTAGGATTCTTTGTGCTTCCTGGACTTCTATGTCTATTTCCTTCACCGCGTTAGGGAAGTTTTCTGTAATTATTTTTTCAAATAGGCTTTCAATTTCTTGCTCTCTCTCCTCTCCTACTAGCCGCCCGATGATGCGAATGTTGGAATGCTTGAAGCTGTCCCGGAGGCTCTTTATACTACCCTCTTTTTTTTATTATTTTTTCTTCTTGCTGTTCTGATTCGGTGTTCTCTGCTTCTTTATATTCTAAACCACAGATCTGAATCTCAGCTTCATCCTACTCTACTATTGATTCTCTATAAATTTTTATTCATTTCAGTTAGTGTAGCCTTCATTTCTGACTGGTTCGTTCTTATGGTTTCCATCTCCTGTTCTATGCTGTCGAAGTTCTTTCTGAATTCAGCTGCTCTTCTCCTAAGTTCGTTCAGTATCCTTATAACCACTGTTTTCTACATCTAGTAGATTGGTTTTCTCCATTTTGATTAGTTCTTTTTCTGGAGTTTTGTTCTGTTCTTTCATTTGGGCCATGAAAGAACATTTTTTTGTCTCCTTATTCTGGTAGCCTCCTTGTGTTTGTTTCTGTGTATTAGGTAGAGCTGCTACAACTCCCTGGTTTGGTAAAGTGGCCCAATGTAGTAGGTGTCGTGTAGGGTCCAATGGCACAGCTTCCCCTATCACCCAAGTTGGGCACTTGAGGTGCACTACCCTGTGTGGGCTGAGTACACCATGCTGTTGTAGTTGAGCCTTGATTGCTGTTGGCAGGTCAATGGGAGGGATTTACCCAGGCCAGTCAGCTGCAAGGACTGGCTGTGACCATGGACCACCAACCTCCAACCACCATGGAGGATCAGCTGTACCAAGGCCTATCTCACAGATTAGGACTTACTTCATCAGTAGGGCTCTGGTGCCCACTGGGTTTGCCCCTCGATTGTGTTACTTGTGAAGGTGGTTGGATGGATGATACTCCAGCGTGGTCTGTAGCTTTCCATGGGGTGTGCTGGCCCTGAGATTTCCTAGGTGGTGCAGGCCAACGTCAGCCCCCACCCTCGTTCTGTCCAGGGCCACCTGGCATAAGCTACAAAGTGATCTGCAGGTGGCTGCTGCTTGTTTGGGGCTTGGAGGTTTCCAAGCTGTGAACTGAGGCCAGCTGTTGCTAGTGCGAGGCTTAGGGCCACTTAACAAGAGAGATTAGGGCTCACTCAGGACCAGACGCAGCTTGTTTGAGAGGATTTAGAAAAATCTGAAGCATGAGCCAAGACAGGCCATTTGTATGAAAAAGTCACTGGAAACAGCTTGGCTGGGCCCGAAAGTTGGGTGGGGCAGAGCCTCAGGGAATCACCAAGGTGGGGCAAACACTGTAAACCAGGTTGCTGGAGTCTCTGTTATGGTGTCCACCTGCCAGCTCTTTGTGGAGAGGGCTCACAATAGGAACAGTGGCCTTGTCAGCACTTCTGTCTGGGAGAAAGCTGTCCCCCAGCTCTCGCCCTGATACTGGACACTTCAGTTCCTCCCTGAAATGCCTTTGGTGCCTCTCAAGCTGCTGCCCCCATGCTGGAGCTCAGAGGGAGTGAGTGTGAGTAAGTTTGTACATGGGCCCTTTAAGAGGAACTGCCTGGAAACTGAATCCAGCAGTTTCCTTCTTCCACAGCTTCAGTCCCCACTGGTTTGTACAGCCAGCAATTACGGGGACTTGTCTTCCTGGCATGGGAACCCTGGGCTGGGAGGCCTGATGTTAGGCTGAGGCCCCTCGCTCCTGAGATATCCCTCTCAGTTTTGATCCACAACATATGGTGGGACCAGCATGTTCTACATCTGCCCCTCCTGCCAGTCTCAGCGGGATTTCTTCTTCAATTCCGTATTTGTAGGACTTGCATTCAGCTCGATTTCTGGTGGTTCTGAGTAATGGTTGTTGTGTAGTTTAGTTGTAATTTCGATGTGGTTGTGTGAGGAGGCAAGCCATGTCTGCCTATGTCACCTTCTTAGCTTTCTTTCCTGATGTGCTATAGTTCTTGTTCAGGCCTCCCCTGTGTTCACTAGTTCAGGATCTACTGTGTTTTTACCTGGTTAAAACTTGGTGGTAGTAAAATTTACAGTAAAATATTCATCCAGAAAGATGCCTGATCAGTGTTCATTTATTAAATCTGCTTTCTTTTTCATTTCAGATTTGTCCTATATGTGCAGCATTACCTGGAGGTGATCCTAATCATGTCACGGATGACTTTGCAGCTCATCTTACACTTGAACACAGAGCCCCTAGAGATTTAATATCCTTTCCAGACGCAACAGAGGAAAAAGTTGTTTGTAACAATTGTCATTTGATTATTTTTAAGGATAGTATCCCCAAAGGCAAAAACTAACCTCTAATTTTATTTTATTTAGTTTATTTGATGTTTTCATAAAAGTAACTCAGTGTTGAGATGCAATTTCTTATTCCTTTTTTAATATGCTATGACTTTTATATGAGTCATGCTTATTTAGTAAAAGTTGACTTACTCATCATTGTTAGTTTATAAGATAGTTTGATCAGGTTGTAAGTTCAGGAGAATGTTTTCATACAGAAGAGGAAAATGCTGTCCCAAATTAAAATCTAATTAATGAACTATAAGGAGAGTTTACTTGCTTCCCCTCTCTGTTCTCTGTTGCCTTCTCCTGTTATGGGTGGGATGGTGGGCAGATGTGCATTTGGGGCTCTTTTTCCCTTTTGGAGTCTCTTCCAGGGAAAGCCACTTCCTGCCCAGTCTCTCTGAGCAGGATAGCATACGGTCAGGTCCAGCTCTAACTTCCTTTTCTACTTTCATTTCTGCTTCCCCTTCCCAAGCCTACCTATCTCATGACAGTTCCTGGCAGTGTTCCCTGTAATCTCCCAAAAGTTTATTAGCACACCAGCGTAATTAAATGTGTAGGTGCCATGCTTCTGGTTTCAGGTTATGAATTGTTTTTCTATAACTATCACTGATTAACACAGGGTTTTGTTCTCCTGTGAAGGTTTCGGTGTTCGTTGCATTTTGAAGCAATTCAAGCTCTAATCACAACTTTATTCTCTGCCAGACTATTCTTAATTCTTTTGAATGCCTCTTGGCATTCAAAATAATTCAACCTTAGACCTGTTGAGAGAGAAACTGGTTTGGTGGTTTTCTTGTCCTACAGCTCATCCCTTGATCACAGTTCCTAATTTTCTAATTGGAAATATGGCCCTTTATAGTTATAGGAAGATAAGTAGAAACCAATGGAAAGTAAAGATATGAACCCAACTGAAGATACAAGAATGTCAGCCTGACCTGAGCCAGTACTCAATAAAAAAGGAAGCTGTTCTTTCTTTCTCTTAAGTGCAGGGACCCTGAAAGCAAAATGAAGAAAGCAGTGATTATTTTTTCTGAGAGCATAAGGAAACCCAAATGGGCCAAAAATACTTAAGCATTTGAGTGACTTTTCATTTCATACAAAAGAATCCTGTGACAGTGCTCAGAAGGACTGCGTTTGATCCTTCCTTCACTCCAGCGCCATGAAGAAGCCAGGCAAATAATTGAAAACCCAGCTGTGATCCTGACTTTCCTCAACGAGTTTATGAACCTCTAGGGAACTTGGTGTCTATTCAGTAGAATGTCCCACATCATCTACATCCTGTCTTTGAGATTTTTATAAGAATCGGGTTATCAAGAGAAGATTAAATTACATAAATTATAAGAGTAGGAGAAGGCATTTGTTACATTTGAGATTCCAAACAAGTATTACCATGGAAGCATAACAGGTATCCGGGAAGCATATTAATTTTTCAGGTGCTTTGTGGTAACTTTGACATGAGGGAGTAGCTTCTCTCTAAGCTTCCTGGGCACCAGAACCGTGTTTTGTTTTGGGGGGTTTTTTTTGTTTGTTTGTTTGTTTGTTTGTTTTTGCAGCATTGAAAAAGAGCTTAAACACAGTTTAAAATTAGTAACCCAGAGGACTCTTACTCCAGAATTTAAATTATTAATAATATTCTTTTCTCTTTACAACTTTAATTAAGATTTGGTCAGCTTGTATATTAGCACACTCTCCCCAGATATAAAAACTGATGCTTATGGATTGTGGTTACTTCATTGTAAACATATAAGAAATTCAATGCTGAGAACATCATGGTAAGGGATCGTCCCATCTTGGGTATCTGACTGTGCGATGCCTTTCTCCTTATTTAGCACTGTTAACTTTGGTTATTTTAGCTGGAACCAGGAGGAAATTTCTTTGAAAACATATGTAATATACAAACACTCTAACATTGCTTTAGAGTTGTTAAAAGCCCTTATAAATGTAGTTGTGACATTTGCATTCTATATTAAATGTGCTATTTTACAATGCTTCCAATTTAGGAGATCTCCATCTATTTAGCAAGGGCTTAAGTGATTTTTTTTCCTGTCTATAAAATACTTGGGTTCTTTTCTTAACTTTGGAGTTATGATGAATCGAGTGGTGTTCGACATGTACGTAGAATGTTTCACCCTGGCCGGGGATTAGGAGGTCCTCGTGCTCGTAGATCAAACATGCACTTTACTAGCAGTTCTACTGGTGGACTTTCTTCTTCTCAGAGTTCATATTCTCCAAGCAATAGGGAAGCCATGGATCCCATAGCTGGTAAGTTAGTTTCATGTTAACAATGGAAATGGCTGGGCACGGGGCTCCCTTTAAAGTTTTTGTTGGAATTTATGGTCCTAGGAATCTCTCACCATACTCCAACATTCTTTCACAAAACTTTATAAGTATAAAGTATTTTTAAAATAGACAGCCTAATGTAGTTCATATCATTCTGGTATTTCTTCAAGTACTTAGAGGCATAAGGCAATAAGACATGGCTCTATGTTCTGTTAGTGGCCTGCAGTGAAACCCAAGAAAATCATAAGAGATTTCCATTGACTGCCAAAATTGCATGGTTCAACCTCCACAAATATACAGATAAGAAAACTAATTGACAAGACTAAAGAATTAAGCTCTTCTCATACGAGAAAGTTAAAGTAGGAATTTCTGTGTTCTTGCCTTGATTTGAGAGCTCTATTGTGGAATATACTAAAAAGTACATGTTTTAATGGCTTGGGAAAATCTTACTGAAAAAACAACATTTGAACATGGAGTGTATAGCAAGTCAGGGGGTTTAATGCATAGCCACCCTGGAAGCCGCCAGCCACAGACAAAAGGGTTGAGGGTCCAAATAAAATATCAAAAATCATTGTGGGTAACCAAAGGAAATTAGACTTTGGGTAGTGCGCACACAATAGAGTATACAGATATTGAATTATATTGTTATTAACCAATGTACCGCAATAAACTTAATTTTTTAAAAAATTGCTATAGCCTGAGACTGAGACGCATCAAGCACAGACAGGAAGTGATACTGTGGGGGGGCCTGTGACAAGTTCTGACTGTGTGCACATAGGAGAATGTGTACCTGGAAGCAGTGATACGTCTTGCACTGAGAAGTGTGTAACACTGAGAAGTGTGTAAGTCTGTGATGTAAACTAGGGACAATTTCACTCATAAAATGTTCTTTAAAATATGAGATGCGCAGTATAAAATCATTCCAAATGTGCTTTGGGCCTTAGAGTGTACAATAAACCCAATAAACTCAGTTTTGGGGCTTTGAAAAAATATTTATCCAAAGAGAATATTACCTGCTGTCTTTGGTAGCACGTTCTAAAACTAAAGGTTAATTTTTGGGGTGATGGTTGCCAGAGGGGAGTGGGAATTGAGGGACTGAGTAAAAAAAGGTGAAGGGATTAAGACATCAGCTTGGTAGTTACAAAATAAAGTAACCCTGGGAATGAAACTCAAAATTGAGAAATTCTCTCCATTATTTCAATTTTTTGTCTGTGGCAATTAATTTATTTTAATGATGAATAATATGAAGGAATGGAATAAGAACTCCTGGGGTAAGACAACAGTGAACAAGAAAACAACCATGCCTGTTAATGAGTTTTAATGACTAAGAATATTTGCTAGCCTGGGAATGTCTGGAAGGCAATTGTAAATTCCAAGTACGCTAGGTAGGTAGACCCTCAAAGTAGGACAAGGCAATGATTGGATCTTCCTTAAATGAAGATGCTGGAACAAAGGTCCACATCACTCTTAATGAGTACCACCTTATTAAAACTGGAGTCTGGATCATAACAGACCACGAAATAGGCTATGCAGTCAGGAGCCCATCAGCCTTACTGAGCAACTCTCCAGCCACAGTACGAGAAGGTGCCCGAGAAGGAAGACAAAGTCAAGTGTGCAAGGGTCACAGTTAGAAATGACACAGGTCTCTTGGATTTAATTCTAATAATTTATTCAATTATTGATTAAATGAGTGCCTACTATGTATCAGGCACTGTTTAAGAACTGGGAAAATCGTAACAGTACATTTGATCTCTGCTTTCCTGAAACTCATGTCGAGAGGGTTTATATGTTCTGATAGGACTAATAGATGAACCAGTTTAATCCACTGAAATACCAAGAGAAAGTATAACTACATTAGCTCATTGAGCAAATAATTTAAACAATGCCATGTTTTGCTTAAAACGAAAATAATTGTATGCGAGTTAGTATTCATATGGGCACTCTCCACACACAGCAACTCCTGCCAGTGGGAGTTATCCTAAAAAGGTGTTGCTCCAAGCTGAAACTACATGTTGCCGTGGGTACCTGCCTGTAGACCATCATTTTTAATATTCCTCGGGGAAAAGAGTGATCTGTATCCGTTTGTATTCCTCAGCCTTTAAGTAGACATTCATCATCTTCGTTTCCATTGGCAGAGCTTTTATCTCAGTTATCAGGAGTGAGACGTTCTGCAGGAGGACAGCTTAATTCTTCTGGCCCTTCCGCCTCTCAGTTACAACAACTGCAGATGCAGCTGCAGCTGGAACGGCAGCACGCCCAGGCAGCGCGGCAGCAGCTGGAGACCGCGCGCAACGCGAGCCGGCGCACTAACACAGGCAGTGTCACCGCTACAGTCACGCAGTCCACAGCGACTGCCAACACCGCAAGCACGGAGAGTAACCAGCAAGCTGTCCAGAATTCCCAGTTTCTTTTAACAAGGTGGCTCATTTATTAACATTACTTTCAGAAGCAACATTGATTAGCACTATGCAGTCTGAAATAATCTCTTCTCTTTTGTGCTTATGTATGTTATTAAACACTTTGCCTCTGACCGAACCATTAAAGCCCACAGATCTCTAGTCAAAACTGCGTATTCAGTATTTCCCTGAGAACATGAAAAATAATTCTTATTTTAGATAAAGTAGGAATGCTGGTGGTCTTGCGTGAACCGCCTATCATCTAATAAGACTTTCTTTTCCCAGATTGCCCATAAAACTTAAACACCATATCATTACATAGATGGGACATATTAGGTACTTTTATTATCATAATTTCTTTTCACTGCCAATTTCAGTCTTCTGTGAAATAGTAAAGGGTACAAGAGACGATTTCATAACATACTGGTTTTCTTCTGAGAATTTTATAAAGAAGCAGTATTTAAATTCTTACAGTCAGTGCACACAAAAGTAACTCTTAAAAGAAGGGTTTACCACAGTGTAAAAAATACTCAGTACACTCGGTAAGTGGCTCTACTGGATGGAGTGGAGTTCTTTCTTTCTTCTGAAAACTACCATTAGCAACTGAGGTGTTCCTGTGCCAAAAACCTCACAGACATTTTATGTGACTTTTAAGAATATAAAGGAGTTCAGAAAGAGCAATAATGAGTAGACTTTGGCTCAACAGAGAATAAACCTGGACTAATTTGGGCTTTTAGTGGAACAGAGAGGAATATAAAATAAAAACTGAAATGAAGAAGAAAATTAGTGTAATATATCAGTTGTCTCCAAAATGCAGTGTGCATGACAGATGTGAGAAGAAAATATTATTTCTATGTATATTTCTTTTATCTCATACTTTTAAGTGTCTCTGGCACATTTACAGAGTTGTAAATAACATGTGAATGCAGACTAAACAGTGTTCATGGACCTCTGTCTAGAGCCTGAACTTTGCCATTTACTTAGTTGGGACCTTAGGCAAGTCATTTAACTTCTCTAGACCTGTTTTATCATCATTATCCTGTGAGTTTTGCCTCAGGGAAGAGAGAATTGTTTTGAGAATGAATCAGAATACTCGTATATATATGATCTGGCTCAGTATCTGCCATAGAATAAAGGCCCGATTAATGGGACCCTGTTATCTGTTATGGATCTAAGGAGGAAGTTTCAAGTGGGGAGTTTACATTTGGATTATCTCTGCAAAGTCAGTAACTGTGCCTGGTTATTACCAGCACATGTTTCAGATAGATCTAGCATGCTGCCATATAACTTACCTGTAGGGACTGACCAGCCACAACCTTGTCACTTGCCAGATCGAGATACCTACCTCAAAAAGGTGACCTACCAATGTGTACATCCACTGAGAGCTCACTAACCTGTGGGTGGAACGAATGTATTGACAGCGCCCGTTAGAAAAGATATCTTCCACCCTGACCATTATGGCTCAGTTGGTTGGATATTGAACCGCAAACCGAAAGGACACTGGTTTGATTCCCAGCCGGAGCACATTCCTGAGTTGTGGGTTCAGTCCTGGTTGGGGCTTGTATGGAAGACAGCCAATCCATGTTTCTGGTATCAATGTTTCTCTCCCTGTCTTCCTCCCTCTCTTCCCCTCTCTGTAAAATCAAAAATGAAATTTTAGAAAAAGGCATCCTACTCTATGCCCCATTGTTTGTTTTGTTGTTGTTTTGTTGTTTTTTATTATTGTGTTGTTTTGTTAGCCCCATACTCAGTGGGCTTGATAAGGGATTTTTCTCTGCAGTTTTTCTATATTAGAATCCAGCTCGCAGGGCATGGTATGGGTAATTTCTTTTTGTAGCTTCTTGAAGGCCCCCTTCTGTCCGATACTTTACATTGCATAGTACCTTGCAATTTGCAGGCCACTTTCACATTTTTCATTGTGTCATTTGTTCCTGACTCATATGATTTACGTAAGGCAATATTTTCTCAAAAATATTCCCTGTGATTTTATATATTCTGTTACTTATGTTCTTCCCCACCCCCCTGCCCCCTGATGAGTAAGTTTAGGCAAAACTAAGTAACAAAAATAGTTTATTTACCATTGGATTTCTGAGAACTTCAAATAGTGTATTAACATGTATTGTGAATGCTCAAGGCAAGCAGTGGCTGCAGTGTCTCCAAGGGGAAATCCTGGTCTCTGGTCACACAGCTGTTGTGTGATGTGCGTGGGGCTCAAGCCTGATCTTTGGTTTCTTTATCCAGAGGCAGTTCCTGTTTGTGCAGCCCTGGACCTGATGGTGAGGTCTTTAGGGGGTCATTGACCATTTAGAAAGTGATGAAGCGCCTGTGTCAAGCTTTGGTCTTGGTAATGAAGCCAGCTAGTTTTGCTAACCCCGATTTGAGGATCCTTACAAGCTTTGCGGTTACCTCTAGATCCCAAATGAAGTTTGGCCTTAGCCATCAGGAAACCTAGCTGTAGCCTACTACCAGATTCTGTCTGCTTCTCAGGAATGAAACATTTTGTCAGTTATTTCCTAAAAATCAAAGCAGTAATACTGGAATTACATGCTCTCCAAAGGTTTGGAGCCTCAGCCTGTATGTTTCTAGTTTTCCTGCTTACTATATAGGAAGTCCTCTATATATCCTTTATTTTTCTGTGGTGCCTTTGATTTTAGGGGTTTTTCCCCCTCCTTTCTTTCTTTACTGGAGGCCTTTTCTAAAGCTAAGGATAGAGAATGTATTTCAGTTCTTAACACTTACAGTTTTTGCTTGAAAATATGTAGCCTATTAGTTTCCTTTTCTGTTAGATACTTCCTTAGAATATTCTTAATTTGGGTTTTGTCTTTTTTTTAAGATTTTATTTATTTATTTTTAGAGAGGAGAATGGAGGGAGGAAGAGGGAGAGAAACATCGATGTGTGAAGAGATACATTCATCAGTTGCCTCTCGCCCATCTGCAACTGGGGTCCTGGCGCTCAACCCAGGCGTGTGCCCTGTCTGGGAATTGAACTGGCGACCTTTTGGTTCCCAAGCTAGCGCTCAATCCACGAAGCCACACTAGTCAGGGCTCTCAGTTTGGTTTTAGTCATTAATACCATCAGTCATTTTCTTCCACTGTAGATTTAATAGCTATTTTGTAAATACCTTTCACATCTTTTTGTTTTCTTTAAGTTCTGGAATTTGGATCTTTTAATTTGTCTTCTGAGCCCATAGATTTAATCATTTGGTGGTTTTGAACTTGACAGCTGTGAGATTTTGAGCAAGTCAACTTAAACTCTGCTTCAGTTTCCTCTTCCTGTAAAATGTTGATAGCAACAGGACTTATAGGAATTAAAAGAGATAATACAAAAAGCACTTAGAGCCTCACCCGTCGTAAGTGCCCAGTGCATATCCTCCCTTGTTACTTTGGGAGGCCTCTGTGCCTTTCGGCATAGGTAGGGCAGAGGAGAGCAGGTGCCAGCCGTACAGAAGTGTGGAGCAGACCTGTGTGTGGGCACGTGCACCTGGGTTCTCTGGGCGAAGCTCCTGCCCTGCACGCCTGCTGTACCTCTTTCATTGTCTCCATGTTCTCCCTGTTCTGTTCGTTTTCCTGACTCCATTGCTCCAGCTAGTTTTCCTGTCTGTCTTTACCACTGAAAATGTAGAGAAATGAAATCAGTACTGAAACTGAGCAGAATTTTGCTTAAGTCATTGAAGAGGTTAGTAACAAGAATTCAGCTCTTAAGGTCTACACTGTCTCCAGGCAGATAAGCATTCTGGGCCGTTAACCCTCAGGGCAGCCCTGCCTACCAAGTTGCTGGCAGGAGACCTGTGCAGGAGGGCTGTGAGCGAGGGTGGTTCTTGCCCTCTCGGGCTTCTTCGTTTCAGGAAGAATTACATGGAAGTAATAGAGAAAAGTCAAAGAAACTTCTAGGAATTCTTTTCAGTAGAATATTCTAGTCACTACAGATTTTGTGTTTATGACCAGGATTGCTACATTTCCCATTTTTACTACCCACAGGTGAAATCCTGGTTAAGGAAATTACTATTTCCCTAAGCAATCTGATCTGTTAGAAATTTTGTTTTCCTCAGAAGAATTTTCACCACGTTTTCTCTGAAAGAACCATGAGAAGTCTAAATGTACTTGTCTCATTGAACCTAATTAAAGCATAGATTGCACCTCAGGGTAACAGTGTTGCTACAAGTGTGGGGATGAATCTCAAGAAAATTAAGGTGATAAATTAGAGCAAGGTGTTCCAGTATGTCTCAGATTCTGAGTGTTACACCTGTACAGCTTGCACAGTGTAGGACATTGCAGAGATGTGACACACCATTGTCCCGTGAGTTCTATCCAATAAGACCTTTTCTTTTTAACTTACGCAGGTTGAATGATCCTAAAATGTCTGAAGCAGAGCGCCAGTCCATGGAAAGTGAGCGTGCAGACCGCAGCCTGTTTGTCCAAGAGCTCCTTCTGTCCACTCTGGTGCGCGAGGAGAGCTCCTCCTCGGACGAGGATGAACGGGGGGAGATGGCCGATTTTGGTGCTATGGGCTGTGTAGATATTATGCCTTTAGATGTTGCTTTAGAAAACCTAAATTTAAAAGAGAGTAATAAAGGAAATGAGCCTCCACCACCTCCTCTTTGATGACATCCCAATTCGCAGACAATGTCCTCTGTGCTGTATTTGCCAATGAAAGTGGACAACAACTATCTTGGGTTTGTTTGGTGATTGTAATTTCAGGTCTGTCAATCTTGTTACATTGTGTACATTCAAAAGGAAGAGAAAAAATATATATGATAATCATTTCCACATAACTAATTTTTACTTCTAGCAGGTAAATGTAGGTAGCAGTGCAGGGGTGATCTCTGCTTCCTGTACCTTGACATGCAAAAGGCTCTTCTAATACTCCACATTCAAACTGAAGAGGAAAATTGAAATCTCTAATGAAGCTGCTGTGTGTATTTATGAATATTAATGAATAAAAACTGCTTGGATGGTTTACCTTAACTACTGCATGAGGTTTTTTGCAGCGTGCATGAGTTTTAGTGACCTTGTTATTTAAAAGATTAAATACAAGGAGTAAAACTTAAACAAAAATAAAAGCCCAAAGCTTTCCCAAACATTATTCAATGGTTACGCGGCAAAAGAGTTACCTGCTGAAGTAGCTTTTGAATAATGTCTGCCTGAATCACCTTTCTTTGTGTGCCTCCTACGCATAAAGCCGGCTCTGCAGTGGAATCTGAGGGTTGTAGCAGGTGTCGCGCTCCGCCCTGTGTGACTGTCCTGTCGCCCTGTTAATTATCTTACCCACGTGGAGCTCAGCCTGTCTCGTATATTCATCTATAGAAGACACGCCGGTAAAGCTACTGTCGGAATCTGCTGCAGGGTGCTTGTGTGCCCTAAAAACAAATCCTGTTCTTAGTTGTTTCAAGTTTTTACTTTCTGTGGTTGTTTAAAATTTTTTCAATTGTTAAATGTTTTATTCGGGTGTAGATGAATTTTCATTTATTCACTGTTCAACAGAATTAACCTGAATTATGTTGTCTTTGTTCTTGAAAATCTCACATTCTCAATCATATTTTGCGTTATTTATGTATGTGCTTCATAGTTTGCTGAGACAGATCAGTATCAGGGGAGCTTTGAGGATTTGCCTTCCCAGATTTTGTCGATACATTACAACCAAATTCTTAATGCTAACTTTAGCACCTTTTATTTATTGGGTTTTCTCTGGCATAAAAAGTAAAGCCTTTTAATTGAATCATGTCACCTATATGCCTATATTATTAATCCTATGTGTAAAAAAAATGTACAGCTTTTTTGGGTTTGTTTTGGGATTTGGACGGCCGGGATATTTTTTTATTTTCTGTTGCAGTTTTTGTGCATAGACTTTCACAATAGCTCCAAGGCAGGGACAGCGGGTTTGGGGGTTCGGGGGGCAGTTTTTGGAATGTAAATTTAGGACTTTTAAAAAAAGGTGCGCACAGCTTCTGATAAATTTATAACTAGACTTAATCTAATCATGTCTCGTTCCAGTTCTCGTTTCTCTGAGCCCTTTTCTCGGTCCCCCTCCCTTAGCCCTTTTCCTTTCCCGTGTGTGTGTCTCCGTTTCTGCAACACGACAAGCATACGGGCGTGAACACCCTCCGGTGTTCTTCCGAGAACTGTGAAGTCCATGTTCATCCAAGTGTAACCAAAAAAGAACTCATCCCACATGTTTAAAAAACTGTTGCTTCTCCTCCTCTGCAACTTCAGACTCCAACAGTTTCCAGCTATAATAGCTTTGTTTTCTTTAATTTCTGTGACGGAAAATGTTTTAAAGGAGAATTTTACAGCAGGCTTCTGGTTCTACTAGAAGTCAAGTCCAGTAGTGATTTCTTTTTCTCAATTGGTTGTTGAAACGTTTCAAAAACCAGTTTTCAAGCTGTGGTCTTTTCAAACACATCTTCTGCACATAAGTCACACATTTCAATAAAGCATTTTCAAGACTGTTGACCACTTGAATTTCTTTGCTGTTGGTGAATTAGCCTAACCATCATTCAGAGATTTTATATCTCTAATCCAGTATTTTTTTTTTCTTTTTATGCTAAACTTAGAGGTCCTGATTTTGTGTGAATGCACTACTCTGGATGTGAGAAATAGAAATTGCCAATTACATGCTTTCCCTTTTCTGCACAAATTCTGGGAAAATGTAAGATCCTTTTTTTTTAAACGTGGTTTGAGGAAACAACTCTAAGTTCACGTAGGGCAATTTAATTTAGGTGATGAATTTAACACATCAGAAGACTTAAAGGTTCATAAGATTCCATCTCATGTAGAATACTGTATATTAATTATTTTTTACCAGCTATTTTACAAATACCTCACCTCATCCTGTATGTAATCAATTATGATGTATTATCTTAGGACAGAAAGACACAGACTATCAATATAAAAAATATATTTTAAGTCCTTCAAATTCTTGTGTCCTTTTTGTTTAGTTTCTGAATTAACATATTTTTGGAATTACTGAATAATAATTGCAAAGACTTTGATGTAGAGGAGACAAAATTAATATACCATTGTTTATTTTGGCTACACCTTCAAATTTCTAAGTACCAGATCCTGAGTTTTGAGAAATTTTGTTTAGCTTTGAGTGTCTAGGGTATAATAAGTTTGTAAGTGTTCTACAGTGCTTGTCTTTACTTTCTGTTTGTTAATAATTTAAATTTCTGTTCAAAGTGTTCTGGAAGAGTTTAATGTCATGACTCAGAGAATCCAAAAAAAAAAAAAAATTTTACAGTAAAGAGGAAGACCTGCAGAGAATGTTTTATTTCTGTGTATGTAATTTATGGAACAGACTGTGTGGTGTGTTCAAGAATCCCAGAGTGATTCCAGCTGAAACCTCATCATGTGTAGTATATCCATGGGCATCACGTGCCTGGGCATTTAACCGCAGAGAATAGTGGAATTTGAAATTTGACCAAAATAGTGGAATCCACCTCATGTCTCCCTCAGATTGTCATTCATTAGTTTCCTAAAATATTTCAACTGTGAACAAATAAGCGTGCCTATGCTTTATGGCAGTAGTCATATAATTTCTGTTATTGGCTACAGTGAAATATTTGGATTTGTATTTAGATTGTATAGTTTTTAAACCACAGAATTGGTGGCCAGGTTTTTCCTAACAGAATAGTGGATTCTTGTTGATAATTAGACTCAAGTAATAAGAGAAAGCCCATTTCCCTGTGGCCCCCAAGGAAAATGTGGTTTACAATAGATTACATTATTAGAATAGTAGAAGCAACACAAAAATCCATCCCATTACTCTCCCCCCACCCCCGACCCAGTATTTTTTTTCCTTAAACATTTGAATTTTAAATAAGGCACAATGGTCGCTAAGCCTATTTTGGTTTTGTTTTCATTTGTTTTTTTTTATCCATAGGCCACAAATAGAAACAAAGCAGGAAGGGGTCCCAGGAGTTTTCATGGAGGCCCCTCACAGCAAGTGTTCCACTTACCCGTCCGTTTCACTCCATGGCCTGTGGGATCCACACAAACTTCAGTAGTTCATACCTATTTTGAAGGGCAAATAAGGAAGGGAGGTGACAAAGAGGAGAGGTGGTTGGACAAAAGGGGTCTTAGAATGGGATCCTGGCCACTGAAAAGTGTTCAGTGAAAAGTCTGTCATTGGACGCTAATATGGTCAGTACAGCCCTGTGAAACAAGAATGTGTGGAGACTACGTGTGGCAGAGTGGGTGCTGCTAAAAGCTCTTTAACATCAGTTTTGTAAGGAAAAGCCCCATAGCTGAGTCTGTTGTGCTTGTAAATCACTGGCATGTGCAGTCTAGAAGGCACATGAAAATTTATTTCATTATTAAATAAAGCCATAGATAAAATTTTCCCAGAGTGATATGCTGAAGTTAATATTAACGGGCACAAAGGGCATGCCTTTCTGTGCTCTTCTAAAGCTTCACTAGACACTTTTGAAATCAAAACCGTACGTCCCTCAGATGTAACTGTAGCCCTGTCTCCAGGTTGGAGTGAGAAGTTAGGGCTGGAGTGCAAGGTGGAGCAACATTTTGCGTATTTTCTGGTCATTTGTGACAATGTGAAATTCTGTGGTTTTAAACATGGCCTTACCTGAATAATTTATTAACTGTACTCCAAAGCCAAATTTGAGTAACTTTCGGAATAGAATAAAAACTTATTCCTTGTGCCCCTCATCTTCAACCATGCTTAGGCAATGCTTTGCCTTTGTTTCTGGTGAATTAGTACTTGTTAATTCTCAGTTCTGGTTTTTCAGCCCATCTCTGTCGGATAATTGTTCTATAAATAAATATGTGAGCTTGGGGAAATCCTTACCTAAGGAACCCTGCTGCAAGCCTCGCATGTAGGTGCTGCCACTTGGTTAGCAGATTCATGTTTGAAAAATTATTCATTCCTCAGAGAAGCTGGCCCAGACAGGAATCCACGCGGCACTGTAGTCCGTTGCTGTCAGGTGGGTAGTGTTAGGTTCCTCGGATTACAAAGTAGGAGTTCCCCTCCAGTCCTCTGGTTTTATGAAGTCCGTTGAATTTTACAACAGCTGGTTTAAAAAAGTGTTTGATTAAAAAGAAAGACTTTATGATTTTGTGTCCCTGACAACTTCCCTTGGTGCCCAGTCTGTGCGGATAGGAGTGCACAGGTGACTGGGAAACCCCTGTGGGCCGTGTGGGCACAGACCCGTAAGAGCTGCTCTCCTCAGGCCTATGCCCATAATTTTGCTCTCCTAATCTGAGAGACCTGACAAATATTTGACCAGCGAACAGGAACCTAGTGTTTACATTGTTTCATTGTTTCCCTTGTAGACAGTGGGTGTGGCCTGTGGTTTGTTGGCTCCTGTCTGCACAAACCACTATCACCCCCTGCTCGCTCTTTCATGCCATTCTTTTTGAGCTGAGTAGGTTGAGAGCTTCGGTCTAAGCCTAAACATCATTTACAGCTTGCAGTTTTTACAAACATTCTCCCACCCACGCCCCAAGAGAATTCTTCAGAAACAATTTCTTAAAAACCTCCCTCATCTAGTTGGGAGTGTTTTCAAAGGTCACCAAGCCTGTTGGATTTGGTTGATAAATCTGGTGATATCTGATCCGGTGAGTGAACTACTCCTTTAAATCTTGCTACCAGGTTTGTTTAAGCATGTTTAGGATTTTACCTTACACATAAAAAAAAAAAAAAAATCAGTCCGCATTTAATAACAAAACTGGCATGAAAACAGTTGGTACGTTCTATTCTGTAAGCTAGATGAAGTCCCAGCTCTCTGCTTTTAGATGTCCTGACCACACCCTGTGTACAAGGTTTACTTGAGGTAGAAGCATCAATATTCCTAAATTAAGATTTTGCAGTACTACTAAATCAGCAAGTTGGACCAGGCCACTAGGAAGTGGGCACTAGCCACTACCCACAGGATGAAGATTTCATGGGTTCTTACACCCTAATCACATAAACTATCCTGGCCAGGCTTGTAGACTTAATTTTGTATGAGAGCTCCTTGTGACAATTAACAAGACACTAGTTTCACCAATAACCCATTTTTTGATATGCACTGTGCTAATTAAAGTCTGCTGAGCCACAAAAGAGCTTGTCAAAGCTGCCACTGGAGCATAGCCCAGTTGGATGGCAGCCACCTTGTTAGCAGGCCACTGTGAGAATGAGAGCGTACCTTGGAAAATACCACACTGCCGATACAGTGGTATTTTAAAAATAAATTACAGGCATTGCCACAGGCTCCCCTACTAATTTACTGAACTTTTATATGGATTATCTTTTATAACATCAATTGGCCAACCAGCTTATCTGTGGTTTTGATTTGAGTATATTCTTGGCTACATAAGTAAACAAGCTTTGTGCTACATCACTTTACATTTCATCCATGTGGATATCCTTGGGTTCAATGGTTGTATTGAATCATAAGATGTAAGTGATGCTCAGCAGACTTGGACATCTATGGTACCAGTATCTTAGCTGTTCTGCAGGGGATTTCTATAGTTTTAGATGTCCCAGGAATATCTTGTTTCCTTCTGTCTGTGCGCACATTTTGTTAATGCTTCCAGCAACACCTAAAGTTTTAGCTTCATTTGCCTACAGAATTTTCAGGACCCACCCAGGTTACCCTAAGACCCGTGGCTGATGGCATTTGGGATAAAGAGGCTGGGAAGCGAAGATGTGGCTTCTGTCCTCAGGCCAGAAAAGGACTTTAGAATATTTCTCTACTTAGGCTTCACAGGACAAGTGAGACTAGAAAGAAGGAACTGGAAGGATCCTCCAGAACCTCATCTGGATGAACAGGAGCGCACTCACCCAGGACCAGAGGAGCAAGCCTTGCTCCTTAGCAATTTTTTTTTTCCTCTTCAGAGTTCCTGTTGGCTTCTTGGTTGTTGTTGGTCTTTTCTTTTTCAACACTCAGCTATCTTCAGTGAATGATAGAGTTAACAGAGATTGGTGGAAAGCATAAATTTTTGGCATCCTGAACAAGAGAGAGCCTTTCCCTTGACTCTAGGGCTCTAGGGGCTGAGGCGATGAAGTGGAGTCTCTGAAGGAAGGTGGAGTGTATGTATCTTTTAAGAACACTTTGAGCATATTTCAATGAATCATAATTATTTGCAGTGTTTTTTCCCATGTTCACCATTCTATGGTTACAGAGAAACGGGTCCATCTGATTAAACCAAAATCCACCACGTAAACTCCCAGGAGCTTGCCCGCCGCCCCAGTGCCTGACGTTCTTTTCACACTGCTCTACTTCAGATTGCCTTCGGTGCAACCCTCAGCAAAGCTTTCATAAAAGATACAATGAATACCACTTTTCATATCTTATGATGTTATAAGGTAGACATTGGTAATGGGGCATTTCAAGTACAATTTAGGGCAGTATTTAGCGAAGTATTTGGGAAATGCTCAGCTTTTAGATGTTTGTAAATTCTGTAACCAGCCATAACAGAAGGGGGTCAGGAGAAAATGGAAAAAGTTGTTGC